GAGCTTGAATCAAATTGATGCAATATTAAATCTTTGTAGAATTTGTTAGAGTTAATTGTTTTGTATTTATCATATAAAATAAGGTGTAGGCAAGCTAGGTTAAGTGCTACTTGTTTTCTGTTGAAAATAGAATAAGGTGGGATAGAATTATGGGATGAAAAACATTTAGGATAGTTAAGTTGTATAAATAGAGTAGTAGTAAACTGCTTGAGTAATGCAATAAAGATAGAGAGGAGAAGTTTGAAAGAGATTTCAATGTCTGGATTAATAGTGAGGTTGCTGCTATAAATGAAATTAGTAAGAAATTAGGTTTTTTCTCTGCTAAAACTTTAACAAAGTACATATGATTGTCTGAGGCTGGTCTAATAACTTTGCCAGGATAAATGTCAATAAAGTGTGGTCTAATGAAGCTGAATAGCTAGTAGGCAATTGAAGTATTAAATTTGTTGTTTGGCTCCATAAATGAAGTAACTGGATATTCTTTAAACCAGTCAATATCATTGGCAGTGTTTTGTGAAGTTTGTTTTTGTTTTTGTTTTGCTTTTGTTCACTAGTAAATTGATTTGTCTTAACTTTTTTAAGAAAAATTTCTTTGTAAAGTTTAACTTTGTCCTTTGTGAACATTTGAGAAAGTTTATAAAAAGCAATTATTTTTTTATAGTTAAAGCCAAGTGGAGATAGAGCAATAGGTTTGAGTTTAATATCGAGAAGTTGAGAAGAACAGATTCTATGAATTAAAGCATTTTTAAAAATAGCAGCAGCTGTATAGTCTGGTGCATAATTTTGTTGATCTTTAATGAGTATATAGAGGATGTTTTGACTTTGCAGATAATATAGGTATGATAGTGGTATAAATGAGCAATAATAGCTATAAATATATGATCAGTTTAGAAATTAGGAAAGAGAATATGTGGGTTAGTTTAAAATAAATTAGATGTATTTAAAATTTTAGTAATAAGTGAAGCAGATAATTCAACAGTTTTTTTGAAACTGTTTGCAGAGATTGTAGATCTTGTTTGTAGTTGTGATTGGGGTTGATCTATTGTTGTAGAATGATTAATTTTATAAAATCAAAAAGTAAAACTTGTGTAGTATTTACTACACAAACAAGTGAAAATTGCTAGTTGTAGAGGAACTTTAAAATAATGTTGTTTTTTGTTATCACAGTAATTAGGTTTTGCATCAACAGGAAGAACATAGAGTGATTGAGGCTTGTTTTCATTGAGTCCGACACCATAGCAGTTTTTGTATCTAGAGTAATAATAGTTAATATCATAGGAATCTGGCTCTTAGGAGTTTGCTAAGATAGGCATTTTGATATTAAGTTAAACTACTAATTTTTTTTAAGAGGTGACAAATAAAAGATGTGCCAAATAAGAGTATGATATATAAAGAGTGTAATATATAAGAGATGTGCCAAATAAAAGGTTACTTGGTGTGACAGTAGGTGATCAACAGAATTAATATGATCAACATATAACAAAAGTTATATAATTTAGTTAAAAATAAATTAATAAAATAGGGTGTGGCAACTTAGTGAAGTGGTGAAGTTATTGCACTTCCAAGTAGCAAGACCAGAGTTTGAATCCTACCGGTGATGAAAATTTGAATTCTCAGTACAGTGTTATAGCAACTGTGAGTGTAAGGGCAGATCGACATCTGTAACTAGATTACACCAGCTCGTATAGTGTTACAAGCCGATTGGTTTTTATCGGCTGGCTTAGCCAGCTGATGAAAATATCGGCTAAGTGGCTAACTAATGGCTAATATAATAACTATATAATATACAATATATTATTACAATATATATATAATTTTCATAAATCATTTTTATAATACTTAATATAATACAAGATTAATTTTATTTAAAATCTACTAAAGTAATTCTAAATTCAATTATTTATCTCTAAATTTGCATATATACTTTTTGCACATTTATAACTTTAAGAAACTAACTTCAGGAATTGATTAGAGTTCCAACCCGGATAAATCTATACTCCGCCCGCTTCGCAGCTATTATACTTGGTTACTGTTGCTCTTGGTTACTCTGCCCTTTAGCACTTCCCCACCCGAGGATCCATATCTAATTATTTGAATAATTCAGATCGCTTAAATATCTAGATAATCTGACAAGTATCCAGATATCGATAATAAATAGAAAGTAAATAGGATATATCTGAATAAATTCAGATCCGGATATCTGATAGTTATCTGAATATATGCATAATAGATTGAAACTCTAGAATTGATCAACTTAGAATTAATCGTAGTCCTGAACCATAACAATAATGAAATCATCAGTATAAAAAATCAACATCCCAAATTCAAGTTGTTAGAATCGTACTCATTTTTGAGAAATTAACAATAAGTAAAATAAATCAAAATATATATAAAAAAAAAAAAAAAATACACTATACTCGCCAATTATTAATTATTCTGTTCAAAGACCAAGAACCAAATTCTTTTACTTTCTCAAGTAGAGTTCCAACCCGGATAAATCTGTCATCCATTTATCCATACCTGATTATTCAAATATCTGTTTACTATTGATATCTGGATAATCTGACAGATATTTCAGATATCAATAGTAAATGATAGTAAATGGATATCCGAATATCTGATAATTATTCAGATAAATGCAACCTGGATTGGAACTCTAATCTCAAGTTCCTGTATACTCAAGCTAACGATAGGAATTTTTAATTATTAATTGTTAATAACATGAAAATGTTAATCATTTTTAACAATTAATAAATGGGTCAGTCCGTACCGTTATGAGTATTCGGGCAAAATTCCTTAAATTGAAATATCAATATTCAATCAATTTTAATAATTAAGGTAACAATAGAATTTTTGAACCTTTGAACAAGAATTGTAATAAATTGTTATATGATATTATGTGACAAGACTTGCACTAAAGATAGAGCATCTACTCAAGAATATGAGCCAATGAATTATCAACGTTTGAACACTTATAACGGTATAGACTGACCCAAATGAATTATCCAATATGCATAGAAAATATTGATACGTAGAATGTGTAATCAGCGAATCAAAATATATATTTTTATATACTCTAATATAAAAATGATTTTGTAGCGATAAAAATTAATCAATAATAGTTCTCGTAAAAAAAAAAACTATTGATTAGATCATTTTCTACGAAGATGTTCTATGCATATTAGATAATTAGATTAGAAAATATTGTTAACTTATTAATCGTTAATACGTACGTAATTCATAATTAATAATTAGAAATTCCCATCACTACATACTCGAAGCTAATATAAACTCATAAACAATAGAGATAATAAAGATAAGCAGATGCAAGTATATGTATATATTGCATACATAAATATATGCACTGCTATTGTTCATGAGTAGATATAATTATTACACCATGCTGTCTTTTTTTGACATTTAGAAAAGTACCAAAATTATACATACAGTTGTTATCTTTTTGAGTTAGCCAAAGAATCCTTCAAAATAATACTATCGTCTTGCATGATCATAAAAATGAACGATCATGGGGCTTCTTACATCTTTTAGTACCACATTTCAGAACTATCTTACAAAAAGCCAATTCTCTGTATGGTATGATTATCATGCCATAAGATGCCGCCACTTTGGGGCTGCCTTGGCCAAATCTATTTCTTCAGCGAAGCATATAGACAAAAATTTGCGATATCCACATTTGGCTTGTCGCTATACATAGTACGCGATCGAACAGATACCATTTATGTCAGCTAAAAAATAAAATATAGAGAAATAAGATAATACGTAGTACTTACATAATTTTCACTATTCAAAAAGTAACAATCGTATATCTAATTCTAAGTGTGAAGTTTTAAAACAATCAATCACTTGCTAATAACACAAATTAGAGCGTTCTAAAGCACCCACCTCAATAAATTTAATAAATAGTTTGATTAAACTGACTAATCAGATTAGTTATAGAGTCTATTGAGGCAGGTGCTTGAAAACACCCTTAGGGCATTCTCAAGCACCTGCCTCAATGAATTCAATAAAAACCTGATTGGCTATTTTGATCAAACAGACCAATCAGATTCGTTATTGAGTCCATTGAGGTAGGTGCTTGAGAACACCCTTAATCAAATATGTATCTATAAAAAAATAATTAATTAATATATAATATAATGTGATTAAATATAAATAAAATAAAGACAACAACGAAAGTAATGAAAATAATTTGATTTTTTTTTTTGTTCTGTGATAGAAAAATTTCTATGTTTTATAAACAAATTTTTTAGTATCAAAATGTCAATACACGATCAATATCAGCTTGATTCTTATGACAACGATATTATAGCTTTGCCAAATGAATCAAATATGTCAGATATATCAGAGAATCCAAATGACCTAGACATTGAATCAAACTCAAGCTCACCTGAACAATCCACATCACAAAATAATGGCATTACTGTTATTACTAATAGTCTGGGTAAAAGAATTCAAAAAAAAAAAGCTTTTACGCACAACAAAAAATCGAGACCTAGTAAAAGTTGGGTATGGCATTATTTTAAACAAAATAAAATTGAAAAAAAAATATATTGCCAAGTTCAAACAACAAATGAAGATGGTAACGAAGATACCTGTGGTCAAGAATATGAGTTATCAACTGGAACAGGAAACTTAAAATCTCATTTACGCCAAGTTCATAGAATTTTGCCCCCTGAAACAAATAATAAAAATAACCAATTGGTTAATATAGCTTCAAATCAATCATCATTGCATAACTTTTTAAATAAAAAAACACCCTTATCATCTTCAAAACGTGATAAAATTACAAATCGCATTTTAGCTTGGGTTGTAGACGATCTCCAATCATTTTATGCTACCACTAATAGTTGCTTTCGAGATATGATTCTTGAATGCGAACCAAGATTTATGTTTCCGTGCATTGATCAGTTAAAAGAAAAATTAATGCAATCAGTGCTTTTTGCTGAGCAACAACTTAAAAATCTATTACAAACAACGATGGATTCCTTTTGCTTTACGACGGATCTGTGGTCTCAATTTCATCAACCTTATATTGCAATAACTATTCATTGGATCGGTCCTGAATTTACTTTATACCAAGCTCTTCTTACAATCCAAAAGTTCGATTACCCTCATACAGGTGATCGGATTGAAGATTTCTGCTGACAACTTTTTGACCAGTGGGGTATATATAATAAACTCTTTGGAGCTTCAACAGATAATGCATCTTCGATGACTAAAGCAATAGAGCAGCTCGATATCGAGCATATAGGTAAGACTATATTATAACAATTAGATTCTAAGATTGTATAAAATTTTGTCAAATTTCGTTTTTAATAATATAAAATTTAAATAGTATAATAAGATTTTATCGATTAAAACAAACATAATATTAAATTTAAAAAAAAAAATATAACCAAACTTACAAATTATAATTTTTTGTATATATTTTCTCCATTTTAAATTTTTGTTATTAAAAATAATAATTGATAAAAAATCTCTATTATCGAATTAAGTTATTAAAAATGTAATTAATATAAAATACTTTAATAAATTTTATACTTACATAAAATCACTTTATAACTCTACATGTAGGCTGCACGGCACATTCAATTCAGCTTGCATTAGAAGATGGATTTAATATTAAAGAAGTTGATGATTTAATTAATAAAGCAAAATCGTTAAATAATTTTGTAAATCGGGATAAATATCATGAAAAACTTTGCAGACTACAAGCCGAATTAAATCCACAGCATCCAGTCAACCCTCTTTCAAGTGATACTAGAACTCATTGAAGTTCAACTTACAATCTTTTAAAAAACCTTCTTCTTCTTCATAATGCTATTATACAGTTAGCTGATGATTTAAAGCAAAGTGTTAATCGACAAGAAAGGCAAAATAGTTTAAAAATTTTAGAAGCTCTCTTATCAACCGAAGAATGGAATTCATTAGACGAATTAGCAAAACTTTTACATCCTTTTGCACAAGCAACAGGATATATCAGAGGAAATCAATATCCTACTTTAGGAATGATGATACCTACCCTTATTAAGCTTTCACGCCATTTACGAGATTTTTATCCAACAATAACATCGATAACAGTAAAAGCTTGTTGCCATAAAATTAATGAATCAATGCTATCAAGATGGTTTGAACCGTCACTTAATAGTCTTATAGCTTCTTTTTTAGATCCGAGATTCAAAAAAATGAGTTATATAACATCTGCTAAAAAAAATGAAACTCTTACTTATCTTTATACTTTATATAATAACCAGGAACGATCAATTTCTATTCAAGAAACAGAACCATCAAGCACTAATTCTTCTTTTTTCGCTTTATTTTATGATGATGATAATGATATTTTAATTGCAAATGAAAATTCATCCTCGGTTGAAGAAGAAGTGGCTCTTTACGATAATCTACCTCAAATTCTTAAATATCATATTAAAGATGAAGAATATAGTAAGGTTAATCCATTAACCTGGTGGAATGAACACAAATCACTATTTCCTTTTCTTTCTTAATTGGCAAGAAAATATTTGGCTTTTCTGGCCACATCAGTTCCTTCAGAAAGAATCTTTTCGAATGCAAGCAATACAATTACCGATAAGAGAAATCAATTAGACCCCGACACAGTTCATGATATATTATTTCTTAAGGAAAACTCCAAAATTTGTAGTATATACCCGGGTTTGGCTTAAATTTAGAATTCGCACATACTTTACAAACAATCACAAGGAAAATGGCTTTGTATTTCTATTAATGAAAAAAAAAAAAAATGAATTTCAGATAGTTTAAATAAGAATGATAAACTTGGTAAATGTATAGAGCGTCGTATAAAGTGCTAGAGTTTTTTTTTTTAGAACATTTTTTTAAACTTTCTCAGGTAGACCAAATAGATCATAAAAGAAACTTCTGATACTTTAGAAGCGTTAAAGTTTTTTTTTTTATTGCCAGAAAATCAGAAATAAAGGTATACGTTATTTTTATTATAAAAGTTTAAAGGTTCCATATTTCAAATAAACTAATCAAATAAATGCTTCACTTTAATAATCTATATAAAATATTTTATATTTTTAGTGCAAAAAAAAAAATATGACAGATCTTTCAAAGATCTGGAAGTATTTCAATAAATATAAAACAGCAATATGAAATAAAAAAAGTATTTTTCGAAGAAAAGACTTTTGGCACTCTAACAATATATATGAATCTGCGTTCGATTTAATTCGTTTATTATTATATATACTTGTCACGTGAATGTCATACCCTCAGCCATATTAGCCAGCCGATACATTTGTATCGGCTGGCTTAGCCAGCTAAGCCGCCTTAGCCGCGGCTGCCCCAGCCAGCTTGTAACACTAAGCTCGTACTGGAAGACTGTGGAACAATAGTGTAATGTATGAGTTATACGAAATCTGAATGAAGCAGTCATGTAAATCTGAGGTTAGCGCACATGAAAGCCCGCTTGACAAGACCCGAATAGAGAGGTAGCACAAATCTTCGACGGTACTACGTAAAGGATTATCACCAGGATACTGGAGAACTAAACGAGACTGAAGTGTTTGGCAAAGCACTCTATTAATCAGGCTGCCAGAGAGTAACTGGAGGAAAAGGACCTAATCATGGAACCAAGGGCAGGTCACAGCCCTTTCAGACCATTTGGATTAGAAGTTTGAGACGACAGATATACAGGGGATAGTCCGTATAGCAGATGCTAAGGTTTAGGTAAACTTTGCAAAGGCACAGAGTAGATAAAGGTAACAGAGGTAAAAAGCCGCAAGTACTTAGCCTCGACCTAGGCATAAGTTACCGAAAAATCTAGGTGATATATATGGGATATGGACTGCTTTAGTAGGTTTATCACGAGGATAAAGGACCCCCTTATATGGAAGTGTATGTCCACTTTAAAGTCCTAAGCGGCCTTCCCGGCAGTTCCTCTTTGAGGAGAATATCTGATAGCACTAAGTTGATCAAAGAGTTTAAATAGATAATCCTCTTAGTTGGGTTATAGGTATAGCATCTAGTGTAGTTCATATGAGTTACATATGCAAGACTGCTTAAATAGACAATCAAAAGTTGTACATATGGCTAGTTGTATCCTTGTTAATGTAACAAAGTCAGGGGTAGTCTAAATGAGTTGCCCTGATATTCGAATTAAAGTTTAATAAAACGTGCCAGACCCCTAAGTAGTCATCTTAATATTAAAAAAAAAAATAAATTAATAAAATTAGGTTAAAATTAAAAATAGATAAAACAGAAATAAAATTTGTATAAACTAATTTGTAATATTGATTTATAATCTAGAATCTGCAGGTCTGAACATTCTAGAGAGGCAGGGTTTTCCCAAAAAAGCAAAAAATTTTTAGCAAAAATAAAGTACAATTTTTGCAATAGAGTTTTAAAGTATTTTAGCTATAAAATTATTAGTTTTGGTCTGTTTTTAATATATTATATATCAATATTTTGTAATCAACCTTTTCTGCTAATCATCAAAACACAAATTTTTCGAAATACAAAAATTAATAAAAACTACAAAAGACACAAAAAGCTACTAAGAAACGAATTTTGGAGCTCTAAGAAAAGAAGAAGAGGACTACAAAAAATATTCAGTCTCTTAGAAGACTTAAGTAAAAGGAATAGAAGTAGCAAAGAAATAGAAGAAGTTGTGAAAAATCGTTGATATTTTTTTGCCCTTTGCGAATTTTTGGGGAATCGGCCTTGATCCTGAATTGCAGATCTGTTTTGGTAGTACAAAAATCACAACACATAATGAAAAATAAACAAGGAAAACACACCAAAAACCACATAACAAAAACAAGCAATAGAGGTAAACAATCACAACAAGTAGCAACAACAAACAACGATAACCAAAAAACAACAAGTCACGTGAAGTATAAGTTAGTTCAAGTTGCTGGAAAAAGACCTGTTACAAAAAAAGAGCTAGAGCTATTAGAAGCTATTCAGGATATAACAACAGCAATAACAGATGAAATGATAAACATGAAAGTAGAAGAGAAAATGATAGAATATACTGGACAACAACTCCTCCCAAAAGAAGTAGCCAAAGCACAAATAGAAAAACTTCTCAAAGAATTTCGAAGGTATAATAGAGGAGAACTAGAGTATACTGAACTTGCACTTATATAAAGAGACCATGAATGTTTTCATGAAGCAATACAAGGAGGAGAAGACCCGTTGTTAAAATTATAAAAGAAGAAATAGTCAGTATTATAGTAGAATTAAGGTTGGGCGACAGATTAAAAAGATTATTAGAAGATAGGGAAAGACGAGAAGCTAAAATAAAGTCAAAATTGGAATTAGGATAGAGGAAAAAACTTCAAGAACAAAGGAAAAATCGACAAAAACAGCACAATAAAACAGCCCTGAAGTCTATAATACAAC